AAGCGCCGATCCTGAAATCAGGTCAACCTTGAAGAGGGATCCACACTCTGATCTGAAGCGCGAAAAAACGCTGCAATGCACAACGCAGCGCTCCCTCTATCTATCTCTCTCATTATTTCCTTTTTCTTGCCTCTCTCCCTCTCTCTCTCTCTCTCTTTCTGTATCTGTATAGATTCACATGTAATCTCGAGAACCACTTTCTCCAACTTCCTGATGTTACTACTCGCGCAAACCAAAATAATTCCAGCGGGGGGGAACCACGAAACGATACCGCTGCCAGCTAACCAAATCATTAATCAATTCTTGAAGGGGGGGCGGAGCAGGACCGGGAATCGCCGGGGATGTTTCAGGAATCTTGCATGAACTTCCAGGAATTCGCCCGGAATTCCACACACCCGGTTTAATCTGAAGCGGCCCACAGGAAACAATGAGGAAGGCATGGAGGGCCTTCAGGAATTTTCTCGGAATCGGTCGTAAACTTGCAGGAGTCCGCAGAGGTCCTCCGGAAACCCCGTTCGAATAATTTTGGATCCGTGGGTATCGTGAGGGACCCTATGGATCAAACTTAACCAACGGATCTCCCAGGAATCCCACGAAACCTCCGAAATCTTTCGGCAATCTTGGGGGATCTTTCAGCAACCGGCAGGAATCCGCATGAAAGCGCTTGAATCCTGAAGGAATCCGTCGGGATCCGATCATACGCACCACAAATAATCAATTGGTTGTTGGGGCGAAACAGCGAAATCTCAAGCACATGCGGCAATCCTTCGGGAATCCACAGGCATCCTCGCGTCTCCTTCAGGGATCTTCACGAGCCCCGCAGGAGCCAACAGGCGTCCAGATGAACCCTTTCAGGGGTCGTTTGTCATTCTTCAAGAATCTTCATGATCCGCAGCAGAAGCCCCCAGGAATCCTCCGGCCTTTCACGAATTGTCCAGGGATCCCCAGAAATCTTTGTCATGAATCTAGAGGAAATTCGCGTGGAACCCGCCACGAACCCGCACGAATGTTTCAGGCATCTTGCAGGAATCTTCAGGACCCCACTTGGGATTCAGGAATCCGCTCAGGGATCAGTTCAGGCTGCTCAAGCACTCTCAGGAGCCCGCAGCAGGAACGCTCAGGGATCCTCCCAGATCCTCCAAGAGACCGCGGAAATCCGTGAAACAGTTTCATAAACCCATCATATACCCGTCAGGGATGTGGAAGAACCCGAAGGACTTTTTAGAGATCCTTCAGGAATCCCGGGTAAAAGTTTCGGGGGTGACTTCGGGAACCCGCAGGAGTCATCCCTGGATCATTTTGGAATCACCAACGCAACGTGGCCGCGCAGGTCACCTTTTTTGTTTCTCCTCCTCCCTGCCCCTTTTCTCCTCCCTGGACTAACTAACGAAACGCCCCTTTGCTGAACGACCTAACGCCCCAGTTAAGGTTCGAGGGAAAAGGAGAATGGGCGAAGAAGAGGAGCAAGGAGAGGCAAAGGCGGAGGTTAAAGACGGGGAGGAGGAAGAGGTAGAGGGCGCTGTTGCGGTGCGAGCGTGAGCGTAATTACCACTCCCCATATCACCATTATGCGCCCCCTTCGTTATTCGCAAGCATTTACGTTTTACAGCCAAGTCCTATTTGACCACGGCAGTCAGAGCAACGCGCACGGATTCGAACACACCCCAGTTTGTTTTGTTTCCGCTTTGGCCCCGGAAATTATTGAGCGTTTGTGCGGGATCTTGACGGATGCAGTCGGATTGTTTTGGCGAGTTACCTAAATATTCATAAGGGGGTGCTCGAGGTGTCTTCAGGACCCCTTTTAGATTCCCGAAGGATTCCTGAAGGATGCTAAGAGGATGCCCGGAGGATAGATGCATTGCTGTTTTTGTTGGTGTCGGTGGATCCCTGATGCTTTCTTACAGTTCCACGCGCCTCATGAAGGAGTGCGAAGGAGGTTTGAAGATTCTGGACAGAGTCTTGCGAAATCCATCAGCACGCTTGGAGGACCCTGCCAGTTTCCAGAAGGTTTCCTGCGGATGCCGAAACGTTATTCAGGATTCTGGGGGTTCGTGAGGATTTCAAAAGCGTCCTGAAGGTCAGGCCGACTTAGGTTTAAGCCGTTCTAGATTAGGTAGGTCGTTCGGGTGGTTTTGGGTTAGGCCGTATTGGACTTTCTTGAGCCGTGTTGGGTTGGCTGTCTTTGGCCCAGTTTGCTGTCATTGTTTTTCTTGTTGCATGCAGTCGCGTAGCGAGGGGCGCGCTGCACGAGTTACGCAGCAACCAGGGCGCCGTCCTGACCATAGATGTCTCCCCTCCACACCCTCTTCCCTTTCTAATTTGGGATCCTGCTGCTTTCTGCATTGTCCTGAGGGTTTGGAAGGTTTCCGGAGGTTGCTGAAAGGTCCCTGTTGATTCTTGAAGGATCCATGCTGGCTCCAGAAGGATTCCTGAATGTCCATGTCTGATTTATCCCGGATTCCTGAGACTCCTGGGGTTCCGCGTGGATCCTTCAGGTGTCCTCAAGACCCCAGCAGGCTCTTAGGCTCCTCGCAAGGAGCTTGATGAGGTTGGCATCTTCGGGTTTTCTGGGACGCCTCTGTCTCACCGCCTAAGCAAGCCATCGCGGTTGTTCTTGCGTCCCTTCTCATGAGATTGAGTTTTCTCGGCGGCTTTAGAGGATCTCCTTGTCCTAGGGACATTGCCCTCTCCGCACAGACTGCGATGTTTAGCACCCGTGTTCCGCAATTCCTCAGGTCGGGGGGCCGTGAAGTTGTTGTGAGCTTGTAATGCGAACGTGTGCGCGGCGCTCATGCGAGAGCCACATGGTGAAAATGGGCCCGCCCTTCATCCGTGAAGGTCCTGCAAGCTTGTAACACGAATGTGCGCGGCGCTGAGGCGAGATTTTTTGAAACGGGGCCCGCCCCCCATAATGGAAGCTCATGCAAACGTTTAAGACACATGTGCGCGACGTTCACGCGAGCGCCACGTGCAGAAAAGGACCCGCTCTCCGTCCGCGAAATGGCTGCACACTTTGGAACCGAATGTGCGCGGCGCTCGTGCGGAAGCCGCGTTTTGAATTCGACCCGCCCTCCATCCGTGAAGTTCCTGCAAACTTGTAACACGCATGGTGAGGGCTATATTTGAACAGGACCCGCTCTCCATCCGCGAAGCCCTCCCAAACTTTCGGAACGAATGTGCGCGGCGCCCAGGCGGGAGCCACATTAGAGAAAACGGAAACGCCATCCTTCCGTGAAGCTTCTGCAGAGGTTTAAACCGAATGTGCGCTGGGCTCAGGCGAGAGCGAGATTCTGAAAATGACCCGCTTTTCAAATTTGAAAGTGTTACAAGCATTCGCAACGAATGCGCGTCAGGCTGAGGCGTCAACCACTCTCTGACAACAAAGGGCCCGCACTCCATCTATGAAGCTGCTGTAAACGTTTAGGACGAAAGCTCGCGGCGCTGAGGTGAGAGACATTTTTGTTACATGCATGGCCCTGGACATCATTTCCAGGTGCGGGGCAGTAATAAGTTGTCGCTGGGGAGGTTCGGGGAGGGGGATGTCGATCAGTGGTTTTCAAGGTTCAATGTGCCCAATATTGCATGGGATTCCGTGGAGTCTTGTGCGCAAGCACACAGCATGCGGGAGAAGAGCGACCCTCTCTGGCTGGAGTTGGGTAGAGAGGAGAGTCGTACTCATATTGAGTGTTTGGGCAGGAGGGGCGGACGGGGGAGGAGAAGGAGGCGGAGGAGGAGGAGAAGGAGGAGGAAGAGGAGGACGAGGAGGTGGAGGGGAATGCGGGGTAAGAGGGGGGGGAGAAGGAGGAGGAAGGGACGCGGTGCTTAGCGCGACGCGGTTGCCTTCTCTTGTTGGGGACGCTCTCGTTTGGGCCAGTCTCTCTCTCTCTCTCTGTCTTTCTTCTGTCGTGTTGTACTTCCCTTCGTCTCTCTCTCTCTCTCTCTATGTGCCTCCGCTCGATGGGTTGCTTCTGGCCTAAGGATACAGTCGAGATGCTGGTCACGGCACTTCGGGCCCAGGAGAGGCTCTGGAGGTCTGGCCTCTCCACGGATTCAGGTCGGGGGACCTGCTCGTGGCCGTGACCCGCCGTGACCAGACAAGTCTCTCCGTTCCTGACTTGTCGCTCCTCGCGGTCTTGGCATCGCTCGGACGTGTGCACTTTTCCTTCGGCGAGGACCATTGAGGAGCATCCTTGATCATTTGGCGAAAGACCCACGCACGAAACCGACAAAAGCACAGGGAATGGACGTCCGAGCGATGGCCAGGTTCCCGAGTTGTCGCTCCTCGTAGTAGCTCGATGACTGCCGTTTCTGTTGAACTTGCTGTCAGGAGCGTTTGTTCGGCGTGTCGCGCGGCCGGTGCTGGCCCACCACGCCTGGGCGCGACACGCCCAGCGCGTCCCCGCTCCGCAGCGTCGACGCTCCGAGCTTCTCGCAGCCCCTTTTCCGCCACGCGGAGCAGGGCGACACGCCATCAGCTCGCAAGGGACAGTCAGCCCGCACGGCAAGAATGGGACATTTTCCCCAGGGCGCCCCTGCATCCTCGCCTCCTCGGCCCATCCCTGGCGACGTTCGTTGGCCGCGCCCCGCCCGCAGAGTGTCGACGTGGCCATCCAAGGCCCTCGCATCCTCATCGCGAAACCTCATTCTACGGGTTACGGTGGAGGCGTTGTTTAAGGAATGTGCCCATGAGGCTGCAGACCCTGGAGGGTTCCTTATCTGATGAGGGCGGCGATGATATCCGTGGCCAATCCGCGACTGCAGTTCTACTGGCTTCCAGACCCTGGCTTCTGGATCCAACGCTTCCTTATATCCAATGCCCCCACCGTGGCTGTACAACGCGTCGCAGGGGCCACCGCCGTGGCACGCACGGGCAGGACCTGGCCGCAGGAGCGGAGGAGGCGGAGGAGGAGGAGGAGGAGGAGGAGGAGGAGGAGGAGGCGGACGGGCGGGCGGGCGGGCGGGCGGGCGGGCGGACCCCGGCGCCAAGCGGGGAAGTGCAGGCGTGCCCGCGCAGCGGGGCCTCCAGAGGAGCTCCTCGCTGCAGGTGGTGGAGCGGCTGGGCTCCGACGCGCGGCCGAGGGCCAACAGCGGGGCGGACGAAAGGGGGCGGGTCGGGGGGCCAGGAGGAGCGGCTCCTCCTCCTCCTCCTCCTCCTCCTCCTCCTCCTCCTCCTCCTCCTCCCTCCTCCTCCTCCTCCTCCTCCTCCTCCTCCTCCTCCAGGGGGGGGGGCCGCCTCCCGCGAGGAGGTCCGGGATGCCTCCCCGAGCCGGGGAGGGGGGAGGGCTCGAGCGAGAGCGGGCCACACCACCAGTGGGGCTCCCCCCTTTGGCTTCTCGCGCTCGTGGTCCCGGATGGTGGTGGTGTCGCCTGTTCCCAGAATTTCGGGAGTTTGGCCCAACATGCCTGGTGCGTTCGAGGACGCCACGACGCCGGGGATCTGGGTCGCCGTACCAACCGGTAGATTGTGGGAAGGGGGGGATGCCCGAAGAAGGAAGAACAGCACAGGCATGAGCTTTCGCAGGCCCGCGCGGATTGCTTGGAAAGGCACTGGGTTCCCCCTCCCTGGCGCGCGCTCCGCGCGCGGACCTCCGGAAGTTTGTGTTGCATCTTCGGGGGAAAGAGGGTCTACGCGGGTGTCCGAGGCTCGGTTGGTTCAGCTGCTGCTCGGTTGGTTCAGCTGCTCCGGAGTCGGTTGCATTCTGTCGTTTCTGTTCGGTCCGTTGCTGCGCCGCTGCATGCTTCATGGCTTCTTTCGGTTCGTCGAGTTCGGTCGGTTTGGGTTTTGCCATTGGTTCGGTCGGGGTCTCAGTTTTGATGTTGCTGGAGACGGCTTTCGGCTCCGAGCTGTACCCAGCTGCGTGCAGCTGGTTACAGCTGGTTGCAGCTGGTTGCTTACGTTGCATGTTCACGGGAACTTTACCTGTCCTGCGACTGGCGGTTCTTTCTCGTGCGTCCCACGCGGATTCGGCGCGGAGTCGAGGAGAATAACTGCGCGATGGAACAGACAAGGTCTTCCGACGACGCAGCATGGGTTACAAGATATGTCGCCGCGCCGTTTGTTCCGACGCGCGGCCCTGCGTACTGGGGAGGGCGCCGCGGCCACCAGGGCCCCTGGGCACGCGCCGCCCCTGGCGCGCAGGGCTTGCCGTGGGGCCTGCCGCTGTGCCGGCGTCGCCTCCTTGGGGGCGCAGGACGCCGGGCTTCCCGTGGGTTTCCCGTGGTGTCGGCGTCGTCCACTTGGGCGCGTCGAGGGGAAACGGCGCGGCAACAGATGCCGCACGCAGCTGGTTTCAGCCCCGCCGCCGGGCCCTCCCCCTCGACCCGCAGCGGTTTTCCCCGCGCCGGCAGGCGGTGGGAGAGCCAGCTGCACGCGGCTGGCTCGTGAGTCCCCCCCCTTTTCGGAGGCTCTGCACCGCTCGGACGTGGGCTTGTTTCTGGTGGGGACCACCGAGGAGCATCCTGGACCCTCCCTCGAGAGAGCAAGCGCGCGAAAGAGAAACATGCGCGGGGAACGGACGTCCGAGCGATGGCACGGAGGGGCACTGGCCACTCACCCACACCAGTCCCGGTCAGGCTCACCCCGGGCTCAGCATCGGTGCATACCCCCTCCTGGCTTGGCGAGGAGGGCAGATACATCAATCTTGGGCCGAGGACCGGCCTGGCCAGGATCGGTGTGGGTGCACAGCTGACGCTTGCCGACCCTCTGCTACATCCCCCTTTCGTCGGACCCGGCAGCAGCTCCCAGTGACGCGGATGCCGCCTCTTCTCGCACGGGAGACCCCAGATACCCACACTTTCGAAGGAGTGTGTTTTATCAAGCCCAGCGGCATGTTTCTAGCTCAGTCGTCCGGGGGCCGTATGTTTCCATCCCGGCGTGAGAACCTGATCAGCCTCCGGGGGCTGCTCTCGGGGCCTCGGGGCCGTATCAAACAAAAACTATCCCCATGGATGTGTAGGGGAACGAACAATGGCATAAACATAAAAAGCGGAGGTCCGCGCGGATTTCTCAGATTGGCGCTGGAACTCTCTCCCCAGCAGCGGAGCGCGCCAGGGGCAGCGCCAGGGGCGCCGCCAGGGGGCTCAGCGCCGATCCGAGGAATCCGCGCGGACCTCTGAGTGCCTATGTTCATGTCGTTGCCTGTTCTCCGAATGTTCGGACGCAACTCCTGGGAGGTCAAATTCTGATGTTGCACTGGTCCGAAATCCGGCTTAATCCGGCTTGATCCCGCTTAATCCCGCTTAATCCCGCTGAATCCGGCTTAATCCCGCTTAGTCCGAGGCCCCCACTCTGGCGCAACAGCGCCCCGATGGGGCTCAATCCTCCTTGTGAATCTTTCCGATGGAGACCTCCCAGTAGTTGCCTCCTGACCTACTGTGGTTTGGAGCTCCTGGGGACGCGGACACCAAAACATGATGGACCCACGAACCCGGAAAGGGATATAGACATGCGCAGCATGGTCACGTTTTCACGATACCCAACTGGGCGACACCTCACAAAACATCCCACGAGACACCCCGCGAAACATCCCACGAGACACCTCGCGAAACATTCCACGAGACACCTCGCGAAACGTTCCACGAGACACCCCGCGAAACATTCCACGAGACACCCCACGAAACATTCCACGAGACACCCCACGAAACATTCCACGAGACACCCCGAAACATTCCACGGGGGTGCGACTGGGTGTGGTCGTGCTGGGGTGTGGTCTTGCTGGGGTGTGGTCGTGCTGGGGGGGTGGTCGTGCTGGGGGGTGGTCGTGCTGGGGCGTGGTCGTGCTGGGGCGTGGTCGTGCTGGGGCGTGGTCGTGCTGGGGTGTGGTCGTGCTGTGGTGAGGTCGTGCTGGGGTGGTCCGCACCCTGTGATTTAGCACCGCGAGCAACGACAGGCAACCACTCAACCAGGACAACCACGAGGAGACGCGTAACGCACGCAACGGTACGGGCGCCACTCATCAAACACACAGGGAGTCCGTGGCTGCATCGGTTGAGTGGTTGCCTGTCGCCGCCCCCTGGGCGGATCCCCCTCGTAGTCGTCGTCGTCGTCGTCGTCGTCGTCGTCGTCGTCGTCGTCGTCGTCGTCGTCGTCGTCGTCGTCGTCGGGAGGTGGTCGTGCTGGGGAGTGGTCGTGCTGGGGCGTGGTCGTGCTGGGGCGTGATCGTGCTGGGGCGTGGTCGTGCTGTGGTGAGGTCGTGCTGGGGTGTGGTCGTGCTGGGGTGTGGTCTTGCTGGGGTGGGGCCGTGCTGGGGTGGGGTCGTGCTGGGGTGTGGTCGTGCTGGGGTGTGGTCGTGCTGGGGTGGGGTCGTGCTGGGGTGGGGGGTGGTGTAGTGTTGGGGTGTGGTCGTGCTTGTCGTGCTGGGGTGTGGTCGTGCTGGGGTGAAAGGGACCCACGTGTTTTCACGCTTGTTCCGCTCAGGGGCGAAAGGGACCCACGTGTTTTCACACTTGTTCCGCTCTGAGGCGAATGGGACCCACGTGTTTTCACGCTTGTTCCGCTCAGGGGCGAAAGAGACCCACGTGTTTTCACGCTTGTTCCGCTCTGGCGCGAAAAGGACCCATGTGTTTTCACGCTTGTCCCGCTCTGAGGCGAAAGGGACCCACGTGTTTTCACGCTTGTTCCGCTCTGGGGCGAACGGGACCCACGTGTTTTCACGCTTGTTCCGCTCTGGCGCGAAAGGGACCCACGTGTTTTCACGCTTGTTCCGCTCAGGGGCGAAAAAGGCCCACGTGTTTTCACGCTTGCTCTGGCGCGAAAGGGACCCACGTGTTTTCACGATTGTTCCGCTCAGGGGCGAAAGGGACCCACGTGTTTTCACGCTTGTTCCGCTCAGGGGCGAAAGGGACCTACGTATTTTCACGCTTGTTCCGCTCAGGGGCGAAAGAGACCCACGTATTTTCACGCTTGTTCCACTCTGGGGCGAAATGGGCCCACGTGTTTTCATTACGTAAAAACATAAGGATTCGTCCCCCTGGAGAGGGCGAATCTATAGGCACATACGTAACAAAACAAGCGTTTCGCTCGAGACATCCTCGGCAAACTCTGCGGAGCAAGCGTTTCGCTCGAGACATCCTCAACGCACGAAAAAGTGGCCCGCACCCTGTGATTTATCGATCGGGATTTCAAAAACAAGCGTTTCGCCTGAGACATCCTCAAATTTTAATCCGCCGGCCTCCTTCGACCTCGATATTTATCAGGGAAAGAATCCGCCGGCCTCCTTCAAGTTGGGCACGGGGGGACATTGTTTACATACTAAAAGAGAACCCTGGGCCTTTGCCCTTTCTGGGGAAAAACATCTCGCCTGATGCCCGGGACCCACATTTGCACGTGCACCGATCCCGACCAGCCCGGTCCTGGGCCCCTGGCCGGTGCACACGCCCTTCTGGCCACGCCAATGACCCAGAGCTCCGAAGCCGTGGCTCTGCACGACGCGCACCCCCGCAGAGGTCGAAACATGATGGACCCACGAACCCGGAAAGGGATATAGACATGTGGAGCATGGGCACGTTTTCACGATACCCAACGGGGCAACACCTCACGAAACATCCCACGAGACACCTCACGAAACATCCCACGAGACACCTCACGAAACATTCCGCGAGACACCTCACGAAACATTCCACGAGACACCCCGCGAAACATTCCACGAGACACCCCACGAAACATTCCACGACGACAGGCAACCACTCAACCAAGGCGGTGTGGTCGTGCTGGGGAGTGGTCGTGCTGGGGTGTGGTCGTGCTGGGGGGTGGTCGTGCTGGGGGGTGGTCGTGCTGGGGGGGTGGTCGTGCTGGGGGTGGTTGTGCTGGGGCGTGGTCGTGCTGGGGCGTGGTCGTGCTGGGGCGTGGTCGTGCTGGGGTGTGGTCGTGCTGTGGTGAGGTCGTGCTGGGGTGTGGTCGTGCTGGGGTGTGGTCTTGCTAGGGTGGGGTCGTGCTGGGGTGGGGTCGTGCTGGGGTGGGGTCGTGCTGGGGTGTGGTCGTGCTGGGGTGTGGTCGTGCTGGGGTGTCGTGCTGGGGTGAGTGGTCGTGCTGGGGTGTGGTCGTGCTGGGGGGTGGTCGTGCTGGGGGGTGGTCGTGCTGGGGGTGTGGTCGTGCTGGGGGGTGGTCGTGCTGGGGCGTGGTCGTGCTGGGGCGTGGTCGTGCTGGGGCGTGGTCGTGCTGGGGTGTGGTCGTGCTGGGGTGTGGTCTGGGGTGTGGTCGTGCTGGGGTGTGGTCTTGCTGGGGTAGGGTCGTGCTGGGGTCGGGTCGTGCTGGGGTGTGGTCGTGCTGGGGTATGGTCGTGCTGGGGTGGGGTCGTGCTGGGGTGGGGTCGTGCTGGGGTCTGGTCGTGCTGGGGTGTGGTCGTGCTGGGGTATGGTCGTGCTAGGGTGGGGTCGTGCATTTCGCTCGAGACATCCTGCCAAAATTCCAGGAAATCGTACAAAAACAAAGGAATTAGTCGAGACATCATCGAAATTCCTTCGCGCGGGGCGCTTTTCCGCGTCGCGGTCGGCTCTGCAAAACAAGCGTTTCGCTCGAGACATCCTCGGCAAACTCTGCGGAGCAAGCGTTTCGCTCGAGACATCCTCAACACACGAAAAAGTGGCCCGCACCCTGTGATTTATCGATCGGGATTTCAAAAACAAGCGTTTCGCTCGAGACATCCTCAAATTTTAATTCGCCGGCCTCCTTCGACCTTGTTATTTATCAGGGAAAAAATTCGCCGGCCTCCCTCAAGTTGGCACCGGGGGACAGGTTTACCTACTAAAAGAGAACCCTGGGCCTGAGCCCTTTCCGGCACGACGCGCACCCCCGCAGAGGTCGAAAAAAACCCTTTCCAGGGCCGCGTGGCCATCCCGGAGTGTTCTGTGGACAGTTCTGTCCACGGGGTTCTCTTCTCGGGGGTGGACAGAGGCCCCAACAGTGACACGTCGATTAGTGAATTGTCCGTTTTCGGTTCTCGAGAGGGCGCCGTGGCCGTCATTTATCAGGCTTGCGCCCGCCAGGTTTGGGCCTCTGGTCGTTTTCACTAAACCACGTTTTACTAAAGGGAGGTCTGTCCATCCCCGAGTTCTGTGCACGGGGTGCTCTTCTCTTCCTCCTCCTGCATGCTGGCCGATTCGCCACAACCGTGCCCCCGTTTGGTCAGCTGCTTCCGCCGGCGCAGAGGGCCCCTGCCCAGCCGCCGGCGCGGAGCAGGTTGTGGCTGACGGTCCCGGGGCCCGGCGAGGGCCCGCGGAGGCCCAGAGTTGTTGAAGACATCCCGTCGTGATTCGGGCCGGGCGAAAGGGGGGGATTGGGAAAGGGGGGGTTACGAAATCTGCTGCATGCAGCTGGTTTCGGCCCCGCCGAGGGGCCCATTCCTCGATACATGGCCGCCTCCGGCGCCGGGAGGCAAAATCAGCTACGTGAGCTGATTCTCAAACCCCCCCTTTGCTATCCCCCCCTTTCGCCCGACCCGAGTGATTCTCTGGCGGCGCGAGGGGGCTTCTTTGATCGTCGGGTGGGTGTAAGTGCGGTAAGAGCGTTGTATATCCGATGAAATCGTTTCAACGAAGATGTATGTAGGTTCATGCTAGTTGACCTCACATATTCAACATATATAAAATATCGAACTTCGCATTCATCTACTTAACGTTTTGTTAGATAAGTATATTCAACAACATACCATACATACTACTCACAGAACCATCCATCTTATCAACTGAGCTATCGGGTACCACTGCCAAGATATATCGATACATACACCTCAACATACCCAACTTAGTAGCTAAGTCAGCTAAGTCGATGTGGGCTGTCCGATTCGGTTAACCCGAAATTTGCATAACTTT